AGTGAGAGAGGAAACACAAGCAGGGGGAGTGGGAGAGGGAGAAGCAGGCTTCCCACCAAGCAGGTAGCCTGATCCCAGGACCCCGGGATCATGACCTGAGCCGAAGGCAGACATTTAATGACTGAGCTACCCAGGTGCCCCTGGCCTTGGCAATTTTATTGAAATATGTTGATCATGTATGTTAGGATTTTTTTCTGGACACTATTCTGTTCCTTTGATCTAAATGTCTATTTTTATGCCAGTACCACACTGTCTTGATTGTTGTTTTTTTTTATTGTTGTTTTATAGTAAGTCCTGAAATCTGGTACTGTAAGTTGTCCAACTTTGTTCTATTTTGAAAAGTGTTTTGTCTATTCTAGGTCTTTTATATATTTCATATAAATATTTCATATAAATTATTTGTCAATTTCTACAAAAATGCCAGGATTTTTATTGACATTGCTGTAAATCACTTTGAGAAGAATCAACCTCTAAACAATATTGAGTCTTAAAATCCATCAACATGGTATCTCTCTCCATTTGATTAGACCTTTAAATTTTCTCTCAATAATGTTTTGTAGCTGTCACTATACAAGTCACACACATATTTTGGATTTGTTTGTTTACACTCATATTTTGTTAGATGTTCTTATAAATGGCATTTTTTATTTTCCAATTGTTCATTGTTAGTGTATAGAAATGCAATTGATTTTTGCATAAGACCTTGTATCCAGCAACCTTGCCTAATTTACATGTTAATTCTGGTAGAATTTTTTTTTTTAAGATTTTACTTATTCATTTGAGAGAGACTGTGTGTGCCTGGGCAAGCAGGGGGAGGGGCAGAGGAGGAGGGAGAGGGAGAGAATCTCAGTCAGACTCTGAGCTGAGCCCAGAGCACGACTCAGGGGCTTGATCTCATGACCCTGAGATGATGACCTGAGCTGAAACCAAGAATTTGGATGCTTAACTGACTGAGCCACCCTAACACCCCTAGAATTTTTTTATATATTCCTCAAAATCTTCTTTTTCCAGCTTTATTGAGATATAATTGACATACAAAATTGTATAAGTGTACAATGTAATAATTTAATATACATATATATTGCAAAACAATTACCACAGTAAGGTTAGTTAGCAGTCATCACCTTGCATAGTTACAATTTGTGTGTGTTGAGAACTTTTTTTCCAGCTTTATTGAGGTATAATTGACATACAGCACTGTATAAGTTTAAGGTGTACAGCATAATGACTTGACTTACATATATTATAAAATAATTACCACAATAGATTTAGTTAACATCCATCATCTCATATACAAAAAGAGAGAAAATGGTTTTTATCTTGTGATAACTCCTAAGATTTACTCTTTTAACAACTTCCAAACATACCATTCCAAATATGCATATTAGCTATAGTCATTATGTTGTACATTACATCCCCAGTACTTATTTATGCCTGGAAGTCTGTACCTTTGGACCACCTTCATCCAATTCTGCACCTCCCCACCCCCCGCCTCTGGTAACCACAAATCTGATCTCCTTTTCTATGAGTTTTTTTTAAATTCCACATAAAAGTGAGATCATACAGTATATGTCTTTCTCTGTGTGACTTATTTCACTTAGCATAATGCCTTCAAGGTCCATCCATGTTGTCACAAATGGCAGGATGTCCCTCTTTTTTGCAACTGAATAAGTTTCCATTCTATATTTATACCACAATTTCTTTATCCATTCATCTTTCCACAGATATTTGGATTGTTTCCATGTCTTGGCTATTATACATAATGCTACTGTGAACATGAAGGTGCAGATATCTCTTTGATGTATTGTTTTTGTTTCCTTCAGATATATTCCCAGACATGGGATTTCTGGATCATATGGTAGTTCTATTTTTAATTTTTTGAGAAACTTCCATACTGTTTTCCATAGTGGCTATACAAGGCTCTACAGCGATGGTTCATTTGGGGCCACCAAAGTAACAGTTTGGGTTTTTTTCCCCCAAGTGTCCTGTAGTTGTATATTTGTCATCACCTCTGTGTTAATTTTTTAAACTTTAAAATCTTATTTACAATAATATCCAACATATGTGATTGACAGGTGATAACCCCTATTATTACTAAATCTGGATTGAATTGTTTGCCTATCTTTACCATTTCTGGCAGGTACATTTGATGTAGGAAAGATGTTAGGATTCAAAGCTGACAGCTAAGAAAAAATTCTTGAGCTGTCTTTGGTGTAAAGAGGTGGTTTTATCAAAGAACAGGGACAGGGCCCTGTGAGCAGAAAGAGCTGCACTGGGGTCATGAGAAGCGGCCCATTATATACTTTCAAATTGGGAGGGGGTTAGGGATACCGTATTTCTCTAAGGAATTTTGGAAGCAAGGTTTCCAGGACCTTGAGGGGGGCTAGCTATTGTTGGGATGAGGTCATTTATTACTGTCTAATAAAATCTTAGTCATGAGATCCTTCAGATGTAAATCAGTGGGTCATATGCTTAGGGGATGACTGCCAATGTATATTTTGGGGATAGAGATAAAAAGAAGTTTCCAAAGGAATTTTTATACATTAAAGGATCCTGGGGCGTTGAGATAATGTTAAGCTAAGATTGCCTTTTGCCCTTAGCAAAGTATTAACATTGAGGCTGAGTTCCTAGAGGAAGGTCACTCTGCCTGTTTCAAGGACTTGTCAGTGGGCTGTAAGTCATAAGGAAATTCAGTTTTTCTGCTGCCTTTATTTCCCATATCACATTCCTAATCATCCCCAAATAAAAGGGACTGAAATAATTTCAGGCTATTGTATCTTTCCAAACTATAGGTTATTCAAAAAGCACTCGGGGGTGGCATACTCTAATTTGAGAGACTTTGTAGGAGTTCAAATATAACCAATTCCCACCTTTCTGAACGGAAATCTTTTTTTTCTTTGGGAGAGAATTTCACCTCATAGATCTTTAGGAATGCTTTCAGCTTCAAGAAACAAACACCAAAGCAACAGAGGCCTGGAGTGTGGATAGTAAAGACCTTTAATTATCTTACACAACAAAGTCTAGATACAGGTGGTACCAAGCCTAGTGCACCACCTGAAGGACATCAGCAAGTATTCAGGGTTTTTCTCTTTCCGTACCACCATCTTCAACATGTTAGCTTTAGATTTGTCCCCTCGTGGTCACAAGATGATCCTCACACAACCCCATTTAAGGAAAGGAAAGGTGAAAGGTGGGGGTCCCCTTTTAAAACTGTGTCCTTTTATCTGGGTGGAAAATATTTCCTACAAGCTGCCTTTCCTCAATTTCTGTCAGACGCCGGACTACCCTCACATTTCACTTAATCTGTAATTACAATATTATCTAGCAGTAAGAATCGAGTATCACCGGACAAGAAAAAGCCACGCCAAGCACAGCCAAGACTGTCCGGAACTTGTATTTTAAATCAACAAATCAGAGGAGAATCACGGATTTACAGAATGGAGGGAAAAAAATACCCAGGTTTTTGCAGTCACTGCGGGAGGGCCCCTCAGGCAGCTCTTCAATCCCATTTCAATCTCCTGAACACCCTGCGCGATCTTGTTAATAAGGCCCTTAGCGTCTTCTTACCCACTTCAAATATGGCCGCTAAGCTCCAGTCTCCTTTACCACCTGATCGTGGCAACAGCTCTGGCTTCATGCCCATTTCCAAAAGGGCCTCTTCCCGCGAGGCTGAAGTTCTGAGTGCGCAGGCGCGAGCGCAAGTCCTCCTCCGGCAAAATGGCGATGAGCTTGATGTGCGGACGCCGGCAGCTTCTGCGCTTGTTACGGCCACAGCGTCAGGTAAGGATCCCCCAGGGCTGAGCGCCAGGATGCGGCCCTGTCCCCGTGGCCCGAGCCAAAAACAGCTCGTGCCAGGAACAGCCTGAGCAGACGCTGACCTCACCGGGACCTGCCTCTCTTGACCTCGGCTCGCATGAGTACACGGAAGGGTTATTTCCCCGACCTTGCGGGCTCAGTGGCCGCGTATTGTTGTCTGTTCGTGGGTCTCGTCGTCACCCATGCCACAGAAACTTCAGCCTCGACCTCTGTGCTCCGGGGTGGGTCTACGGTAACCGAGAGCCTGGCCGCACCAATTGCATGCCTTCGGGCCAGCCATCTGCGCGCGGAGTAGTGGTGCCTTCACCCGTGGTAACGGGCTGGCAGCTTCGTGGCGAATGAGCCTGATGGGCGACATCTGTTCCTGAAAAAGGGCTCCATCCTTCTTTTGCTCTCTCAGTTCCATAGCGTCGCAGGGCCCTCTCATTGGCCGCGGAAACCGCTGACCTCAGGGCTCCTCTTTCCAACCGGCCGGTGCGGCGAGCGCCCGCACTATGTCCTCCTCGCGGGCCCTGGTCCCCGGGGCCTCAGTACCTCCGTGATCTTGTTCGCAGAAGCCCAGGTAAGAGGCGATTCGTCCCTGCGACGTTAGGGGTAGCGTTTGTTGGTTGATTTCTTTTTATTTTGTTTTAACTACAAGGAGGGGAAATGTGGCACAGAGTTCTTGGCTACACTCCATGCAGCTCCCCAAAATAGTAGCATCTTAACTTGGGATAGATTTTCAAATCAGTGGGAAAATGAGAGTACAGCAGGAGAAATTTATGTTATATACAAGGCATTGTTTGCCATAATGGTGGCAAGCCGCTGATGGTGTAGGAGATGTGATTCCAGGTGTGCATGTGTATTAGAAAAGTTATAACTTGCATATCACTGACTTCGTGGGTATTAATATTTCTGATGGTGAGACCAAGTAAATATTTTGGTCTTAAAAACTGACTTGTTTTAAATAAAAATTACGACAGTTTCAGTATCTGCAAAATCGTGCCAGTGATACTCAAATGACTGAAGTTTGGAAAACACTGATAGAAGAAATAACTTCGTAATAGGAAGGGAGGTCATGAAATCTTACTCTAACTTGTCTTCCTGCCTAGAGGAAAAAAATAAAATGTCCTTGTTAAGCCTTGAATTCTCTGTACACTGTAGACTAATCTGGGAGAACAAAAAGTAGAAAGCCCATAGAACAACCTGATACTAGTTATTATCTTGGGCCTGTGATTTCTGTATGTCCCCCCTACTGAGTATTACACATGACTTCCTTTTGCACAGGTTCAGGCCCCTCCTGTCATTCCTGCAACTCCCTCACCCACAGCAGTACCCGAGGTGGCTTCTGGAGAGACCGCAGATGTAATCCAAGCTGCTGCAGGACAGAGCTTCGCTGAACTGGGGCTGGGGTCATACACCCCAGTGGGACTGATTCAGAACTTACTGGAATTTATGCATGTTAACCTAGGCCTACCTTGGTGGGGGGCCATTGCTGCATGTAAGGGAAACACATCATGGTCAAGCGTAGAAATGGGAACTTCGGGGGTAGAACTTTAAAGACAGCAGTTCTGTAAGTGGATGGAGGAAATACAGCTGACCCTTGAATGACCTGGGGGTTAGGGGCACTAACCCCACCCAACATTGAAATTCCATGTATAACTTGACTCCTCAAAAACTTAACTACTAATAGCCTACTCTTAGAAGCCTTGCTGGTAAACAGTCAATTAGTACATGTTTTGTATGTTACATGTATTCTATATTCTTAAAGTAAGGAAGAAAAATACATGTACAGTACTTTAAAAAAAAAAAAAAAAACCCATATGAGCGGGCCCACGCAGTTCAAACCCCTTTTGTTCAAGGGTCAACTGTAGTTGCAGAAGTTTAGGGGGTCAGAAAAGCGGATGATTCAGATGAGGGATAGAGGCTCTTGATCCTTAGATACACTATATTTATCTTTATTAAAGGGCATTATAAAACCACTGGATCACCTGGGATTCAACAAGTGTAGATATTTAATGTGAGCATGGGGTTAGAGTAAGGAGATCTTGTTAACAGTGATGAAGCTGCCCTGGTTTAGGAGAATAGAAGGTCAGGCCAGGCGCTTAAATCCACCCCCCACCCCCCAAATTGGAATGTGCCCACATTGTTCCTCTTGTAGGCTAAGACTATACTTTAAATTCTGTTCTTCCTACCCTTGCTCCAGTGATCATCCTTTTCCCTAGGTCTTCAGCTTCTCTCTTTTTACTGCCCTGTTCTGAAAATACAAACATGTTCAAATATACCATGGATTTCTTGAGGAAAAGTCCCTTCTTTTCATCCTTAGTTCTTTCTCCTTTCATAGCTGTTATTTAAAAGACTGTTCTGCATGCAGTGGACTTCTTTCTTTCCACTCTTTGACACTCAGCAATCTGACCTTTTTAACAATCTGACTTACTAATACCACCTCATTTTGTCAGTGACATCATTATTAAACCCATTATTCTTTTCATACTTGACCTTTCTGTGTTAGGCACATTTTTCCAGTTTATTTTATTGAAGTGTAGTTTATATACAATATTATATTAGTGATAGTGATTCAACATATATATATTGAACATATATGTATATTATGAAGTGATCACCATGTCACCATATAAAGTTGTTACAATATATTAACTATATTCCCTATGCTGTACATTGCATCCCTGGGTCATCTTTAGTTGTAACTGGAAGTTTGTACTTTTTGTTGTTGTTGTTTTAAGTTTATTTAAGCAATCCCTGGGGTGCCTGGCTGGTGTTCAGTTTGATGAAGTATGCAGCTCTTGATCTCAGGGTCATAATCCTGACCCACACATGTTCCACTGACTGAGCCAGCCTAGCACCCCTGGAAGTTTTTACCTTTTAATTTCCTCCTATTTTGCCCATCTTCTCCAGTCCCCTCCCCTCTGGCAACCAGATTGTTCTCTGTATCTGTGAGTCTGTTTTGTTTTCTAGATTCCACATGTAAGTGAAATAATACGGTGTTTGTCTTCCTCTGTCTTATTTCACATAGCCTAATATCCTATAGGTCCATCCATGTCACTGATGGTAAGAGCTCATTCTTTTTTATGGCTGCGTAATATTCTGTTGTGTGTTTATACACCACACCTTCCTTATCCATTGATCTGTCAACAGACATTTAGGTTGCCTCCATATCATCACTATTGCAAATGCTGCAGTGAACTTAGCAGTGCATATATATTTTTGTTTGGGGGTTTGGGTGTTTTTTTAAGATTTTCCTTCCAGACTCCCCACTGAGCATGGAGCTAGACACAGGGCTGTACTATTTTGCATTCTGACCAGTGGTGCCCCAGGGTTCTCTCTTCTCCACATGCTTATCAACACTTGTTATTTCTTGTCTTTTGATTCTAGCTATTCTGACAGGTGTTGAGGTGGTAACTCATTTTGGTTTTGACTTGCATTTCCCTGATAGTGATATTTAGCACCTTTTCATGTGTCTGTTGGCCATCCACATGTGTTTGGAGAAGTGTCTGTTCGGGTCCTCTGCCTCTTTTTTAATTGTACTATTTTTTTAACCCCTTATTGATATCATTTGCAAATATCTTCTCCCATTCAGTATGTTGCCTTTTTTGTTGTTGATGGTTTCCTCCACTGTGCAAAAGCTTTTTGTTTTGGTAGTTTCAATAGTTTATTTTGCTTTTGTTTCTCTTGCCTGGGGAGACATATCCAGGAATATATTGCTAAGGCTGATGTCCAAAAGTTTATTACCTATATTCTAGGAGTTTTATGGTTTCAGGTCTCACATTGAAGTCTTTAATCCAGTTTGGTTTATTTTTGTATATGGTGTAAGAAAGTGATGTAGTTTCATTCTTTTGCATGTGGCTGTCCATTTTTTTTTTTTAACGACACCATTTATTAAAGAGACTCTTTTCTCCATTGTATATTCTTGCCATCCTTGTCAAAGATTAATTGACTATATAAGTGTGGGTTTATTTCTGGACTCTGTTCCGTTGGCTTATGTGTCTATTTTTGTGCCAGTACATTACTATTTTATAGCTTTGTAATATATCTTGAGATCTGGGATTGTGATACCTTCAGTTTTGTTCTTAAGATTGTTTTGGCTATGACTGCCTTCGGCTCAGGTCATGATCCTGGAGTCCCAGGATCGAGTCCTGCATCGGGCTCCCTGCTCGGCAGGGAGTCTGCTTCTCCCTCTGACCCTCCTCCCTCTCATGCTCTCTGTCTCTCATTCTCTCTGTCTCAAATAAATAAATAAAATCTTTAAAAAAAAAAAAAAAAAGATTGTTTTGGCTATGCAAAGTCTTGTGTGGTTCCATACACCTTTTAGGATTATTTGTTCCAGTTCTATGAAAAGTGGCATTGGTATTTTGATAGGGATTGCATTGAATGTGTAGATTGCTTTGGGTAGAAAGGACATTATAACAGTATTCTTCCAGTCTATTAGCATGGTGTGTCTTTCATTTGTGTTGTCTTCAATTTCTTTTATCAGTGTTTTTTACAGTTTTCAGAATATAAGTCTTTCACTTGCTTAGTTAAGTTTACCCCTAGATATTTTATTCTTTTTGGTGCAATCGTAAATGGAGTTGTTTCTTAATTTGTCTTTCTGCTACTTCAAAATTAGTGTATAGAAACACAAGAGATTTCTGTATATTAATTTTGTATCATGCTTTACTCCATTTATTACTTGTAATTTTTTTAGTGGAGTCCTTAGGGCTTTCTATGTACATTATCATGTCATTTGCAAATAGTGGCAGTTTTACTTCTTCTTTACCAACTTGGATGCCTTTTATTACTTTTTCTTTGTTGTGGTTAGGACTTCCCAGGGCTGTGTGAATGAAAGTGGTAGGAATGGACAGACTTGGCTTCTTACTGATCTTAAAACAACTGTTCTCAGTGTTTAATTGGGTATGATGTTAACTGTGGGTTTTTCCTTTTTTTTTTTTTTTTTTTTTTTTAATTTCTTTTTATTTGACAGCATGCACGCACAAGCAGCTGAGCAGGGAGCCTGACACCGAGCTTGATCCTAGGACCCTAGGATCACGACCTGAGCCGAAGGCAGATGCTTAACAGACTGAGCCACCTAGGCACCCCTTAACTGTGGGTTTTTCATCTGTGACCTTTCTTATGGTGAGGTATATTCTCTCTAAGCCCAATTTGTTGAGAGATTTTATCTTGAACAGATGTAGAATTTTGTCAAGTGCTTTTTCTGCATCTGTTGAGATGATCATACAATTTTTCTTTCATTTTCTTTAATGTGGTAAATCACATTGATTTCATGAATATTAAACCATCCTTGCATTCCCGGAATAAATTTCACTTGTTCAGGGTGAATCATCCTTTAAATGTATTGTTGAATATGGTTTGGTAATATTTTGTTGAGGTTTTTTGCATCTATTATGTTCATCACAGATTTTGGCCTGTATAGTTTTCTCTTTTTTTAGTGTCCTTGTCTGGTTTTGGTATCTGGGTAATGCTGGCCTTGTAGAGTAAGTTTGGAAGCTTTTCTTCCTCATCTGTCTTATGGAGTGGTTTGAGAGGATAAGTATTAAGTCCTCTATAATGTTTGGTAGAATTCACCTGTGAAGCTCTGGTCTTGGGAGTTTTGTTTGATGGAAGTTTGATTGCCCATTCAATTTCATTACTACTAATTGGTCTGTTCAGATTTTCTATTTCTTCCAGGTTCAGTTTTGGAAGAGAGTATATTTCTAGGAACTTATACATTTCTTCTAGGTTGTCCCATTTGTTGGCATATAATTATTTATGGTAGTGTCTTGCAATCCTTTGTGTTTCTGTGGTGTTGGTTGTTAATTCTTTCAGTTCTGATTTTATTTGGGCCCTCTTTTTTTCTTGATGAGTCTGGCTAAAGCCTTAGCAATTTTGTTTATCTTTTTTAAAAAACCATCTCTAGTTTTGTTGATCTTCTCCATTGCTTTTTTAGTCTGTTTCATTTATTTCTGCTCTAATATTCATTATTTCCTTCCTTCTACTAACTTTGGGCTTTGTTCTTATTCTATTTCATTTCGCTGTAAGGTTAGATTATTTGAGATTTTTCGTGTTTCCTAAGGTAGGCCTATACTCCCATAAGCTGCCCTCTTTGAACTGCTTTTGCTGCATCCCATAGGTTTTGAACTATTGTGTTTCCATCTTCATTTATCTTGTTTTTTTATTTCTTTGATTTCTTCCTTGACCCATTGGATGTTTAGTAGCATGTTGTTTAGCCTCCACATATTTGGTTTTTCCATTTTTCCCTCTTGTAATTGAGTTTTAATTTCATCCCATTGTGATTGGAAAAGATGCTTGATATGATTTCAGTCTTCAATTTGTTAAGACTTGGTTTGGGGCCTAACGTGATATTGCCTAGAGAATGTTGCATGTGCGCTAGAAAAGAATGTGTATTCTGCCATTTGGGGGTTTTGTTTTTTTTGTTTTTTGTTTTTAAGTTTATTATTTATTTTTAGTAATCTCTACACCCAGTGTGGGGCTCAAACTCACTACCCCAAGATCAAGAGTCTCATGCTCTTCTGACTGAGCCAGCCAGTCACCCATGTATTCTGCCTTTTGGGGATGGAATGCTTTGTATATATCTATTAAGTCCATCTGGTCTTGTGTTTTTGTGGGTGTTTTTTTGTTTGTTTGTTTTTTAAGATTTTATTTATTTGAGAGAGAGAACACAAGCAGGGGGAGGGGCAGAGGGAGAAGCAGGCTCAACATGGGGCTCAATCCCAGGACCCTGGGATCATGACCTGAGCCAAACATAGACGCTTAACTGACTGAGCCACCCAGGCACCCC